TCTCTTCATTGCCAGATGCAACTGCAAGTGCCCACCCCCCCATTGGCAATTTTAGAGGTTGGTTCTACTGCCTAGTCTCATGGGGGTGGTGCAATCAACAGTAAATGGGTTTTGGTTTGGCGCGACTCAACTGAGCTGTTTTGCCCTTCTGCAGGGCCACAAGTTTGAAGTTTTCTTTCTTGACGGAAGTGGGAACTGAGGATTGACAACTGCCTGGTTGAGATGATTAGAGTAGGAACTGAGGATTCGCAAGCCCGTGGTTGATCAATAGGGCGGGTCATATTTGAGATTGGCTCAGGTTGTCCTAAGCTGGTTTAGGGGTTGAACCGCTGGTTTTTGCGGGGGAAGGGGTCCCTATAGTTCCCTCTGGCGGTTTCAGACATCACCTTTTTGTCCCTGAGGCGGGTTCCCTTATTTGGGTATGGGTCAAAATAAAGCCACCAGGGGACCGCAGGTTTTAGTCCTTCTTTCCATTTGGCAGGGTTCCATTTGGGGTACCAATTTTTGACCCACAGCCATTTAGAGGCACGCCGAATTTTCTGGCTTGAGGTTCCGGACGACTTCACCTTGTACTATATCATTGCGATCTGTGCCGCGGTGCCCTTGTTGTCCCTGCTGGCCCTCTACTTCGGTCGCTGGCGCCTTGAATTCACCGTGGGGCTTGTGGCAAATGGGGCGGGCAAGGGGGGCAGGTTGGGGTTGTTGCCAAATTCTTGGTACCATCCCCAGGTTTCCGCTGGTTTCCCTTGGTAGCTTTCGCTAAGTGACAAAGTAATCATAGGGGATGGGTGGTGTTGGTATCACAAGAAGGGGAATTCCCCACAACCCAGGTGTCCGAGAGCGAGAGAGAGAGAGAGACAGAGAGAGAGAGAGAGAGAGACATCACTCAACCACCCACAAGAATCAACTGCAACCATCATTTGCAGCCATCATGCACAGCGGAAAGCAACAAATTTCTGGGAAAACCGGAAAAAGAAGCCAATTCTTAGGGAATCAAAAGGCGGCCAAGTGTTGGTTGCCTGCCAATCAAGATTGAATCCAAGAAGCATCCTTTTTTCAGAGGAGTCTGTCTTTGGGGGGATTGCACCCGTCTCGGTTTTCTCAGGACGCACTCAGTGCTACGCCGGCGGAGGGAGAAATACATGCTGCTGTGGCTGAACAAGCTGGAAGACGCCCTTTGGGCCCCTCGGTCGGAGATCTGAGAGAGGTCTCTCGGTTGGCCAGGGGCGAAGCAACCAGACCTTGGGCACCCCCTACGCCAAACGCCCATCTGTTTAGCATATTTCAAGCTTCCACTCAGGGAGGGATGTACCATCGGAAACCAAGCTGTTTAACAGAGACGCAAAAACCAGTTGCTATTTGGCGTAGGGGGATGTGTTCAGAATAGGGATGACCGGGACTCCAGAAACAAGCACACCTTCCGGCGTCCTTTTTCAGATATGGCTCCAGGCTCTTCTGATTCCGTGCAACCATGTGCCTCCAATGTGTGGGCTTTCCGGGTTGTTTTGGACTAGGAGAACGGTCCGCGGATACCAGAAAGCCCCCGGAGGCCAAGGGCGGAGGCCAAGGGGTTCCAATTTTGAGACAGGCCATACTCGCACCTATTTGGTTTTCCTATAGGAAACCGACCTGAACTTTCCGCTTTTTTGGATGGGTCTGAAAGCCGAGCTGATGCCGGGCAGATCTTTTCGGGATTCCAAGAGAAGACCAGCGCTGAGCATGCGCACTCGAGCGAGGTGAGGTGAGTGGAGCTGTAAGAGAGTGAGTAAGTTGTGAATTCAGTTTGTCGTTTTGCTTCTTTGTTTTGTGACATAGCCAGCTCTGCCGGTAAGCCGGGCGCACCGGGCGCACCATGAAGGTCCTTAGGGGACCCAACAGGGTTTGGACTTTGGGTTTGACGATAGCTTGCCATACCGAATTTGCTGAACTGAGTCCTAATTTTCACAAGCTACCCACCTTTACCCAACCTCATGGGGGCATGTCCGATTTGTCAAGAAAGCTATTGCCCCAAACTCAGGGGAGTTTTGTTGGGAGGTTCAATTGGCTGTGGGTCAAAAATATGTACCCAACATGGAATCCTGGGAAATGGAAACATGGTTCCCAAGACCGGTCCAAGTCCTGGTGGTTTCATTTTGACCCCCCAAAGAACTCTGCTCGCATAGGACCAGGACGAGGATTCCGTCCGAATGGCCGAGGGCAAGCTCCGCGGCTCGGAGGAAAAACATGTATTATCGCCGTGTTATCGACGTGGGTCGAGTGAACAGGGGCAACTTCCTGAGTTCGGTTTAAGCCCAAGGGCCCCCCTACTCCAAATACCGACTTGTTCATAAGGATAACTGAAGAACCGGGTTTTGCCATGGTATTTGTTCAAGCTTCAGGATGTAATTCTTGTCAAACAGGTGGTTTTGGATTTTTCTTGTGTGCTATGCGGTTGGTTCCTTGACCTGAACAGCATTTTGGTTGAACCAGTTCGTATTTTCAACCACTGCGCAATAAGTTGAAATACTTTTGGCGGTCGGCCGCCCTTTTCGCCACGCGCCCCCCCACACCCCACGAATCAAACAGTCCCAAGCTCCCCTGCCTGACCTCACTGCAGCACGCTTCATTTCGCAACGCCTTTGGGATTGGGATGGCTCCCCTGCACATTTATGGAAGGAACCCAAAAGGGGGGACATTTCCGAAAGGAGTTTCCTCTACAATCCACAAAGCACACACGTTTTTTGTTCTCTGTTTTTTTTTGTTTTTCACAAGTGAGGCAGCTATCGTGGCACGCTGTGCATCCGCGGCAAGTACGTCTACACAGACACCGACGATATCCGCAAGGACCGGAATGGACACTTGTGCAAAGAGCGGGGATGCTCAAATTTCCCCCCTTTCTTTGGACCTACAAAAGTGAGCATTTCAGTGGAACCCACCAATAGATTGCAAGTGTTGATAGGAAATCCCGTGTTCCCTGAAGAGCTTTCTCGTTTTGTTCGCCTTTGGCGAAAACAAATGGATCCCCTCCAAGAGGGGTAGATGGCGCAATCCACGCCATTTTGGTTCAGCGATCCCCTTACCCACATCTACCAGAATTGTGCCATCTACCTCGACGCTCAAGCTGTCAAAACTTTGCCCGCAGGGGATGATGTGGCAAGGCGCTTTTCAGGCGTATCTCCAGATGAGATCTGTTTATGCGGTCGTTGGTTTTTGGGGGGCTACCCGTTTTCTGGTCGTTTTAACACACCAAAGGGAACCCGTTTGGAGGGTTGCCTCAAAACAAAGCCCCCCATGGAGAACCGCGAAAAGCTCAAACCGGCTCGCGGACAGGAGCAGAGCCTCCAGGCCGGCGTTGGTGTGGCGTATCTCATCGGGGACTTCATGGCCTCAGCGCCCTTCGGCCGGAGACGGGGGGATTCGGGGGCCGAAACGGGGGACGATGCAAGCGGGATCTCCGGGGATCTTGGGCGGGGGGGGGGTTGCCAGGGTTGGGATTCACAGAGATTTCCCAGTGAGTTTCCTTGAAGAGGAAATGGGAACAGCAAGTCTGGAGTGTTTTGTTGAGATAAAGGGATATCCAAGAGGAACTGGCTGCACTACCCGGTTTACTCTGGATTACGCGAGGGCCCAACATAACCACTCTATATAACCATCTTGGCAGAACCAAGAAGCATCACTGGGTTTGATCGCTCAAACGAGATCCATTGAAGCAACCTGGGTTTGGCTGGGTTCCCCGTAGCCACAGGGCTCAATCTTCACCTGAGCGACGTTCAAAAAACCCTGCATTTGAAAGTAGTACTCCGGAGGAAATATCGTTTGCAAAATGTGGATTTGTCCTAGGTCGGGGAAGCGCCGCAAAAAGTGGGGTTTATGTACTCGCGAAAGCTTCGCGGAAGGGCTAAGTCTTCCTGCACGCCCGGAAGCGAAAACAAACTTCAAACCCATTTCTCAATCAGCGAAAGCGAGTCGGAAGCGATTCCCTCTTCAAAACAAAAGAACCTTTCATGCGCGAAAGCTCCGCAGAAGTCTTTGCGGAAGGGATTTGATATTTTTCTGCGGCTGCAACTGGGTTTAGAACGTTGCTCATTTGAGGCCTTGCCAACCCGCTAGAAACGGGTTGATTGTGCATTGGTAATCCAACCCAAGCCCAGTGGGAAATACCAAAACATGCCGTATTTTGTCTTGACCGGCCAAAACACTCTGCTTGAAGTATGAATAGCCATGGATCCCTCAATGAGGAATGAGAGAACTAACCATTGCCAGAGGTGCGAGTGGGGGAACCATGATCATAGCTCACAAATTTGGGGGATTCACCAATGCTATATGAACTTGAAGGGTCGGAACACCCGATACACGGTTTTATATATCCACCCGCCATTTTTGTTTGTCTATGACAGGGTCCCCCACACCCGTGAGCGAGGAAGGTATAGAACAGCCTGGTTTCGGGCAAGAACTGCAACGGCCTTCCTGATCACGGTTTTGGGGCCTATTGAACGGGTCCCTTTCCCACGGCAGATTCGTTCTCATGTCAGATGGCTTGCACTTGAGGTTTAAAGCGACCAGGGTTCAGGACCGTGGGCTGAAGCGCGTTCGCAACCACAGGGGTTTCCTGTTGGCTAGTTTAGGCCCTTGTTAGGCACTCCCATGACCTCCAAGTACCAACTGTTTTCAGGACATGTTGGAAAACCTGGTTCCCATGGAGAAGAACGCGGGGGTATTTGGAGTGCTTTGGGGAGAGCAAACCAATTTGGTGGGCACCTATAGTTTCAATTGCTGTATCAGCGGCCAAGCAAGCCAATCGCTCTTTTTTTTTGGCTGGTGCTTTTTGCCCAGTCCCGCGGTTGTCGGCGGCCACCCAAAACAGGCCGGGGGCCTTGACAACCAAAGGAACAGCCTGGGCGTGAACTAGAATAGATTGTCCAGGTGCGTCGAAGCACCCAAAGGGAAACCTGCAGTTGTTTGTTCTTTCACAGAGCCCCTATTTAGCACACAGCAGCCAAGTAAAAGTGTGTGGTCTCTGG